GTACACTGGGGCCCATTGAGTGTTAACATTCATGACCTTATAATTTTGATAAAAAGTAATTTTTAGATGCTAGGGAGCCAATTATTTTGAAACTGATAAAAAGCAAGCATTATCCCTGCCTTCCCTAAATGCACAGTAGACAAAGAGAAATACATATCAGAGTCTTCTAACTAATCAGAAATGATCAACTAACATCATTTTCCAACCCACATAAGTAGACACAGGTATGAAGCATCATCAGCTGCTAAGACCACAAAAACGGAGACAGCCACCTCTTCTGGGCCTCCGAGGAAGCTGCAGTCTACCAAGGAAGCTGTGAGTTGTGGGAAAGACAGACTGAGGAGCGTGTGTGCAAAACTCGTTCTCTCGCTGTGTCTCTTTAAACCTCTCCCCCATTCCTTTTTCTTCACAACAGAGAAATTGTAAGTTTTAAAATGCAAGGATGGGGCCACTGGATGTGGCTCCTCCGGGGCAGCCCTGGCTGTGTCCTGGGGGAGTTGTAGCTGACCCATGCATTCTGTATCTGAGTCCTATTTTATGGTAAGGTTTGTTACTGTTGTTTTTTATTTTTAGTCAAGGGCCTTGGATGGGTAGTTTGCTTCAAAGGGAGGTCACATTGTTTCTTTACTAGGGAACTCAGGTTTTCTTCTTCTGTCCTAGTCAAGGGCGCTGCTGTGACCCATGGCACAGGCAGCACCTTCTTGGGGACATGCCCGGCAGCAGCTGACGTTTGAGCCGGCGTGTGTTGTGGGCATGCCAGGGGCAGCAGAGCAGTCCCGGCTGGCTGGTGGGAAGAGGCCAGAGGTCCCGAGGGGTCCCTCATCTCAGTTGTTCCCCAGGAGGGGGTCTGAGGCTGTTCCACATGAGGCTGTACACTGCCCTGCCCTACACTGCACTGCCCTGCCCACCCCGCCCAGCCTGCCTGTGTAGACCAGCACTCTGACTTCACCCTTGGGCTTAAGAACCAGTCACTGGGACCCAGTTTTGACAGTGACACGGAAACAGTCATGAGCCCTTACGAGTCTCTGCACTGGCCTCAGCCACTCAATGTCCAAGTTAGAGACACGAAGGAGAGAGCAATCTGCTGCCTGCTCACTCGCTCTCTCTCTAAGAGCCAGTGAGGGGCAAGCGGCCCTGCTCAGCTCCTGATGAACAGAACAGGGGCCATACCCTCCCAGTTCCCTCCGCCCAGCCGTCTGGTCTCCACAGAGTGCTCATTCAGTCCCTGTGTGGCTGCCAAGCTCTGCCCCTTCCCTGTGCACAGCCAGTCTATGCCCCAGACCTGATGGTCTCCGGGTGCTACAGCCACAGAGTGAGGCCAAGCGACGGCCCCCCCAAGGCGGAGCCTGCTGGCTGGGGTCCCCGCTCTGCCCCAGAGGCCCTCCTCCCTGGCGCTTTCCCAGTTTGGGGTAATGGCAGTCTTCTTTCAGCTCTGCCCTTGGAATCAAAGCCATAGGGGGAAATTCTCCAGTGCTCCAGGCCTGCTGAAGTCTGACCAGCTTAATTTATGTGCCAACTTGATTGGGCCACAGGATTATCACTTATTGGGTCAAATGTTACTCCAGGAGTTTCAGTGAAGGCGTTTTTGGCTGAGTTTAACATTTAAATTGGTTGCTTTTCCTGATGTGGATGGGCAGAATAGAAGCTTCACCCTTTTCCCAGTCAGAGAACCCTGCCTTCCTCCACCCGGACGTTGGCTTTCTCCCGCCTTTGGACTTGAACACTGGCTCTTCTTGGGTCTCAAGTCTGAGACTAGAACTGACCATCAGCTCCCCTGGGTCTTCAGCTTGTTGACTGCAGATCTGGGGACTTAGCCTGTGTAATTGCATGAGCTGATTCCTTTCTCTCTCAATCTCTCTCTCTCTGCTTCTCTGGAGAACTCTGGAGATGGACTCCAGAATCCTGGA